GGAGATCCCGAGCCTGAATTCCAAATGCCAACCTGCTGTGCTATGGAAGGGAAGGAAAATAGAAATGGAAGCTTGGAAATGGTCCGTGCTTGAGTTAAACGACTAAAAATCTTCCATTCCAAGATCAAGAACTCGAGTACCAACATGAGACCATACTACAACTCCAATTAATTGAATTACATAGAATCAAATATATACAATAACTTCAACAAGTTCATTTATATCAACAAAGTAAGTTCCATTCTTAATTTACAAAGCCATTTGAATAACTTTAATTACATTTCCAGAATGCTCCTTATACAAAGGAATGGCCTAGTTACAAAAATAACAAAAGTAATCTTCTAGCGTCTCTTAAGCTTGAGGTGGATTATCGTCCACCGGTTCTTTCCCAAGACCTGAAAAAAAATAATATATAGTAGGGTGAGCGTAATGCTCAGTAGGTGACGCCTAAGACTCACCTCTTGAAGCCCCATGAATCCAAATAAAGCATAGGCGAATAGGGAACGAGGTTATACAATGTCGGGATAGTATAGCACAACAATTCAATCTCAAGTATACACAATGCAATGCAATGAGATGCAATGCATGCTAGTGTCACTCCCCATTGTCATATTCCAAAACCATCACTTTCAACTGTTAATACAGCCCGCCCTTTGGTAACCCCGCCGCGACACAAGAGGAGGATTGACTAATGTCCCTGACCCTTGGTAATCCCGCGGCGTCATTATGGGGCCCAGCTAGCTCAACCACGCTAGAGCGACTCCTTAGTCCCCTCTAGGCTATATTAACCTTCGGCCCGTTGGTAACCCCGCAGCGACTGGGTTTGCACAAAACCATTTCATCAAAACAATTCTCCAAAATTCCCCATTTTCATTTCAAAACCTTTTCCATCATGCAACCCCATGATTCACATGTATTGCTCATGCCTTTGATGCTTAATCAATGAAAGATTATTACAAAATACAATAGAACATGTTCTCATACATCAATCATAGCATGTAAATAATATGATAGACATAAATTTCATAAAATAACATGCTCATCACACAGCATAACCAAAACATGTCTCCATATACCCATACATATACAATCAAGGCTCTTTAAAACAAGCATTTACACAATTAAACATGCTTTAACACATTTCAAGTAGAATAACTCACAAAGGAGCAAGAATATACGGATTAGGAAGCCCCTACCTCAAGATTGCAAAAAACCCTTGAAATGGGTCCTCAAATTCGAAATCCATAGGGTGCTCAAAGTCTGAAATTGCTGGTACTAGTGCGTAGAGTTCGTCGTGCTCTTCGTTTTGCCTCAAACGGCACCTTAATCCGATAAGAAATGAAGGAGAAATCAAATCTCAAAGCTTGAAACCAAATGAGAAGAAAATGAAGAGAAGAATGAGAGAGGGAGAGAATTACGTGGAGAGAGAGAGGAAGTGAGAAAAAGTGAGGTGGTCTCTAGACCACTTGTGCATAGTGGTAGGTCCCACCACCCAATTTCTTTTCTTTTCTCTTTTTCTTTTTGCATTAAATCAACACCGCTCAAATGCATACCACCTTAAAATGCTACATCATCACATAAATTAAAATGCACCAAATGCACATGAGCTCAACTAAATTCCCGCACGCAATATGCGAAATGACCAAAATACCCTTGCGGCAACAAAATTCTGGAAAAAAAAAAAAAAAACTGAAAAATGGAAACATCACAATATATATGTATATATATATATATATATATATATATATATATATATGTATGTATGTATGTATGTATATGTGTGTATTATACAAAGCTGTTTGGGTTGGTTTGTGTTTGCCACGTCAAGTGAAATGGAGTTTAAAGGGAACTGCGTCATTTTATAAGAAGGGTAGCATCGTCTTTTTCTTTTTCCGGTGGCCTGTGTGGGCAAATTGCAATAAATTAAAAGTTCAGGAGAGTTTCTTGTAATTCCAGAGGGTTAGTTGCAAAACCCCCCATAGTTCAGGAGTGTTTTTTTTTTTGCAATTTACCCTATAATAAATACAAGTTCTTTATAAGCTAGTTAATTAAATGGTAGCATATAATTATATTTGCCAACAAATAATTAGTTTGTACTCTTCTTAAACAGTAGCAGCATCATTTCAAATAACAGTTGACCCCATAACAAACTCAAATATTAACAAACAGTGTTCTCCACCTTATTTATACATGTACATATTGCCGACTCTTGTTTACACTAAGATAGGTTGGATGATAACTTGAACTCCATTTTTGGGGTTAAGAATAAATAGATCAGCAGGGTAATGAACATAATTTGGTGAGAGGAAAAACTTGTACCGCTGCAGAATCATCGAAAGGACAATCTTCGCTTCATTGGTTGCAAAATTCAATCCCACACAAGTTCGAGGTCCCAAACCAAATGGGGAAAATGCCACCGCGTTGTTGTTTGTGGCTTTAGCAACCCCTTCCATGAATCTCTCTGGTTTGAATTGGTGTACATCTTTGCCCCATATTTGAGGGTTATGGTGAAGTGCCAGAATCGAAATGAAAATGTTGATATTAGCTGGAAGAGTGAGGTTCCCCAACTTGACTTCTCTCCGAACTTTCCTTGTCATGGTAATCACCGGAGGATATAGTCTTAGAGACTCGTTAATGATCATGTTCATCTACATTCAAACAAGAAAGAATGGGGCAGAAATTAAAAAAATAAAAATTCCTATTTTTTAATAAATGTGTCTTTGATCAGAGAATGATTTGCTTACAGTTCTTAGTCTTGCAATGCCATCTGAAGTAGGATTCTTCTGTCCAAATAACTCGACCACCTCCTTCCTTGCTTTATCTTGCCAATCTTCATGGATTGCCAGAAGGACAACACTCCACGAAAGCAAACTTGTCGTCGTATTATGTCCAGCACCATAAATTGCCCTGATCTTGTCTATCATTTGTTCCAGCGTAACCCTCTTGTTTATATCAGATTCGTGAGCTATTTACAAGTTGTCCAAGATAATCACTCCCATACTCCTTTATTTCTCCGTTCTTCGAATTCTCTCTGCTCTTTACAAGCTCTAGAATGGAATTTCTTATTCCTTGTTCAAGCTTCTCTGCTTCAATCTCATCGTTGTTTTTTAGTACTCGGCTGCAAAATTGAATGGATGATCATCAAAATGAGGACAAGAATGACAATGAAGAGAAATATCCGAAGATCAATCAATACCCGAATTAATGTGAAATGGACTACATGTCCCCATAATGTATCAAAGAGTAGCTTACCTTATACCAGGGAACCAGTGCTGTAAATATTTTTAACAGTAACGGAGGTCAGTTTCGCTACCATCTCAAATATGTGCTTCCCTTCCAAGTAACTACTCCCAAAAGCTGTCCTGGAAATCACTTCTGTTGTTATTACACCGAATTCTTTAAACACGTCAATCTCTTTTCCTTCGTAATTTTTCCAGCTTTCTAACATCTTCTCAACGCTTTCACTCATTGCAGGAATCATACTCTGCTTACATAACACACTTCTTGCTACTGTCATCAGCACAAGTTTAAGCAAACAATAATGATAGCAGATTAGTAATGGCAATGCAGTCAGAAAGCTTTACCTTCAAGCTCTCGGCATGGAAAGTGTGATTGGCCAGTTTTCGTATTTTTGCCCATTTCTCACCTTCATTTGTAATAAGTGCTTCTCCTAACAGCTTCTTTAGATTGCCTTCCATGTCCATTTTCGGATAACCACCTTCGTTGTTGTTCAGTATTTCTTTGATAAGCTCTGATTCCGTAACAAACAGATGGGGTTTTGAACCGAATCAGTTGAGAAAATTCATCCCTATCACTCATCCAAAATAACAAGAATAATGAAAATCAATTGAAAAGAGCAAGAAGCTTAAATTAATTCATTTTGCATAATAATAGTAACAATATTGAAAATCAGTGTGTAGAGTATGAATTTCTTACCATAGATCTTTGTCCATACATAAACATGAGGCTGAATTCTTGGGAATATATCATGTGATATCTCCATGGGATTGCCCATGGATTGGCTTCTCATGTCAGAGATGTCTTTCGTGTTCCCATGGGGGAACTTGTAACGCGGTCCTTTGATCCCCTGTGAGCTCATCATGTTCTGTATGCGAATTGGCGTCCAAAATGCTTTGTGAAGGAAACTATAGAGTCCAGAGGAGGTACACACACACACAGCTTGAAAAGAGGATTATAAGAACTTCCATTACACCCATACCTCATCAATTATGAACTCGAAAGTCAAGATCAAGCAAGTGTTTTACACATTCCTCAGTGATCTCATATCTTGCTCTCTGGTAATGGGTTGAGAATGCATATACACATAATATATAGATATATATTGGGCAGGAGAATCCTGCTGTCCAAAGTAGAAGACAAGTATGTATAGATTACATTGAATTGTTAAATACACCAAAAACAAATATAAAATGGCAATAAGTTTGCTGAAAGGAACTGCTAAGTTTGGCTTCATATTAGGAATTCACTTTCAGCATGATGATCACTATAAACTATGGAGCCATGCTGATGTGCTGAAAGGGATTACTTCATTAAAGATTTGAGGAGAAATTACTACATGATCCCCAGACCATTGGTCGGGACCACTAGTCAGACAGTGATTGGTAGGGACCATGTAACAATTTATCGAAGCAGAGTTGGAAAACTTTCCGGAACATCTGACCTTGATTTCTTTTTTCCCTCTTTTTTAATTGTTTTCATTCTTTGCTTCATCTTCTGGTCTCTGGACAATGATTATCTAATTCTTCCAAGTTCCACATACTTCCTTAAATACACATTTAAGGTCATAACACTTCAAAATACATTTTAAGATTCATATAATAAAGTTTGCATTCTGTCGTTACTAAGAACCAATAATGGAACATTCCAAGGTATTAAAAGCACAAGTAACGCATAAACTTTAGCAGTGCAATATTAATTTTATGAACAATTTGGAAAGGAATTGGTCGAAGAATTAATCATTACAGACAAAAATATATATATAATTTCGGAACAACTGGGTAAAATAGATGAAGATTAAAACAGAATATAATGCATCATTTACATCTCAACCCTTATAATACAAAACCATAACTCAAACCATAATGTAGTGAACAACCTACTGAACATGACAAACTAAGCCTGAGAAAAAGATCAAGATGTATATGGATCATAGTCGGACCATTGTGTAAAATTTCTGTGATGTATATATTTGAGCTAAGAGCCTAAGAATAAATTAGAAGCATTTAGAATCTACAACATAGAAGGCCTTGCCTCCAACCCCTATGCTTTCGTAATTGTCTCCGATCGGCTTTTGCCATTCTTACTGGGCTGCTATTCCATTCAGATTGTAATCTGCAAATACAGAAAGGATTCACCAATTTTGTTAAACATTAGTTTTTTACACATGGGGACCAAAAAAAGAACAATAGACAAGGATTTGGGAAGAAATTTACACGGGGAAGGCAAAGGATCGGGTACTGGTTGTACTGCTATCTGATCGAAGAGAGATGTTGCCAGAATACGCTATATGCCCCGAGTAAGTTAAAAGACCTGATAAAGGAACTGCTGCAGAGAAACTCGACTCTCCATCAGCATATTGAAATTGGTTAACAACCAAAAGACTGTCAGAAAACCCATCCTCATGATTAGGCACATTTTGTGACTCGCAGGGTTGTCGATGATCTTCATTTTCAGGGATCTTATCTCTGCTGCTAGCTGCGGTTGTAGAAGAATTGAAATCAGAAGTGGCGGCGGTCTCTGCCTTGCTACTGTTTGGTTCTTCAGCAGCAGATACCGCAGCAGGGCTTCCAGAAGTCACTTCTGCGCATGGAATCTGCAATCACATCTACATTAAATCCCAGGATTTGGTGGCATTCATATGCATGTACAACATGTGGGTAACTCTTGCTAGAAGAATAAAGAAAAAGCACTATTTCCTATTGGATTAATCATTTTTGCAGACCAGGAAGCCAATAACAAGCAAAGATAATTGACAATGAATATAGCTTTCTCTTAATAAAGATCCACTTCACAGTGGGTGGTTACAGTTTTGCAACTAATGAATTCTCGGTAAACAGTATAAAGAGTCGACACGTATTTTTTCCTCGAGGAATAAATTTGCTAAATTTAAGCATGATAACAAATTTCCAATTAAATGAAATCATGTCCCACCATCCCAAGCCAACTCAATTTTTCTTCTTGGTAGGTAAGTCATTCACACAATACACTATCTGTCTCCAAGGAGAGTTGAACAATCAACCTTCCATTGGGAAGGAGGAAGGCATACCGCTTGAGCTAAGGGCTCAGTCCATCCCAAGCCGACTTACTAAGCGAGCAGTCATATAAAAAGCTTGATATTATGCATACATAGATTTAGGCAGGTAGTAGTAGATACAAACCTGACAAGTCAGTTGTTCAACTTCATCGCCATGGTGATCGGATGACTTGGAGAGAGATTCTAGGGACTTCTGATTACTGAACTCTTGCACCAAAAGCATGCCATCGGCCACATACTTCTCTCTTGAGTCAGTGGTACAACAATTTGTTTCACCTGTATGTGTTGAATTCCTAGTTGGATATTTGTTATCATCCTTGCTTTCTGACTCAGATTTCAACCCATCTGGAATGTGCAATTCATTATCCACTTTTTCTTTGGTCCTAGAATCATTAGCAGTATTCTCGTCACAATCTTTTTCAGATGAAGATTTAAACCCATCAGGAATCTGCAATTCAGTGTCAACTCTTTCTTTGATAATATCACCATTTTCCTCTACATTGGAAGGTAAAAAGATAGAGCCAACCATGCGATCATCCTTACTGCTTTCAATCAAAATCCTCTTCTCAGAAGGCACTCCCTCATCAATGCAAATGTCCTTTACAACATGATATGTACTCTCTTTGTAACAAACTATCAACTCCGGCAGTTCACACTCCATAACATTTTTGTCGGTGTAAAAATACGTCTCCTCTAACAATTCTATTTTGCCAGAAGGAATTGTACATGGTGTGACAGAATCTTTGACATCATCTTTATCAACTTTGGTATGATCACCCACAACCATAGAAGAGTCAATATCTGGACTGTTCCAAAATTCATCTTTATCATTCATCTCGGATGCTAATAGATCAGCATCCCTCTCACAATCCTTTAAATCACACAAAGTCCCATTCTGGTTTTCCTTCATGGTTGTCTTCGATCCAGCTGTGTCAGATGCTAATAGATCTTCATCCCTCTCACAGTCCTTTTGATCACACAAGATTACATTATGATTTTCCTTCATGGTTGCCTTCGGTCCAGCTGTGTCATTAGCGCTGTTGCTGTACTTAATTGGTTTAGAATCATGCTTATACACTATAGTTGAATGAAAAAACACAGGTTCATTATTAGCATGTGCGTACAGAGTCGATGATTGTGAACATTTGAAAACTCACAAAAACAACATTTCTGTTTTATCTTGAAAAGCAATGCATGACAAGGTAAATTGAATGATAGGTGAAAATTTGAAAACGTATGACACAAAACCAACATTTATATTCCATAGCAGTACCTGAAGAGAGGAAATGAAAACCACACATACTGATAGCACTTGGTCCATCTGAAAGACGGAAGCTTGTGTGATAATTGGAACATATGACTGCTAATTCCTTAAATTTAATACACAGAAAAAAGAAAAAGAAAAAAAAAAAAAAAAAAAAAAAAAAGAACTAATACACAAATAAATCAGTAGGTTACTCAAGCCTTAGCCCACATATTTTATTGGAAATATATATATATATATATATCTTAGCCCACATAATACTCAACTTAATACAACACAATATATATATATATATATATATATATATATATATGACAAAGGTTTACTTGCCGCTAAGAGGAGACAACGTATATAGAATGTCGAAAGCAGCAGGCTTTCAAGATAAATGAAAGGATTGCAACATTACCAGGCTTCATGGTTTACATGGGTTGGGAGACTTTGAAGAACTCTTAGCAGCTGCGAAGCATTCATCCACTATTCTGGCAAGTGTGACAATTCAGGAACCTGTCTGTCACAAGGATGGTCACGTTAGTGTAGCACACAAGTCCAAGCACAACTTGGTAATGTTGCAAAAACATGAAAGCGAAATCGAATATAAGGTGCAGTAAGGAATGAGCAAAGTCGGATCACCGAGACAAACCATAAACATACCACTCAAGTTAACTTCGCAATTCACCAACTAGTGAATATCATATATTAGTGAAAGGGAAATAAATGAATCAGCAATTGGGAAATCATTGCAAAGTCCAAAGGATACTGAGAAATCAAACGGTGTAGACAACAATAGAGCAAACAAAGTTCTGAAACATCATAGAATGAATCTTAAAAATAAAGGACCAAGAAAAATTGCTAAACAAATTTATTGATGTATCATAAGAGAGTAACACTAAGATTATTATCTACAATTCTACATCCAATGACTGGTTAAATTTAACAAGGAAAGGATCAGATCATCACCGTTATCTTTCTATTTTTTCGATACACAATTGAAAAACAATTAGCTGAACGCCAAATTAGTTTAACAGAAAAAGATAACCTCCGGTCTGTGAGATTTTGAACACCAAAACAAAATGAAAATAAATAAGTGTCCAATTTACAATATTAGATCACTGATAAGCAGAAAATGATGCCTAATAACTAGCTGCATCAAAACAAGGAGAGCAAATTGCAGATGAATTGGAAATTTTAGGACCAATTGATCCATTTTCTAACAAAATAAAACTGAACTGTATTTTCATCCTTACTTCATTTCTTTGCTTTTCTGTTTTTTTTCCTGTTTCTCTTTCTTTTCTACAAATGAAAATTATTGACTCTGGTTAAAGGGCTTCACCAAGTATAAAGTGACCAAACTAAAATATATCATAATCTTAGGCGCTGATTACTCATTAGCCTTGAAAAAGGTTTGGATTAAAAAAATGGAATCTTAAATTTGTCAACAAGAAAACAAAAAGAGCCAGTAAAAAGTCAACTTTTATTTTACAAAACCTCCACCAAAACTACCTTTACCACTAAAATATAACACAACTTTTGAATCAAACACATAGGAGGCATCTTCTGCAATAAACCCACATCCTTCTTTAGCTCTCAACAGATCTAACCCATGTTTTAACCTAGGGTTTACTTTACACTCTCACAAATAAAATTAGTAATCAGATCCCAAAATGATAGAATCAAAGAGATCTTAATCAGATCCCAAGACCTTCACATTACCACAGCCCTAAAAGGCACAAAGTACAAAATAAATTAATTAATTAATTAATTAAAAAATGAAAGGACGGTGAAAAAAGGGCATTTTCTATAATACAAAAAATAACAGTACCTATTTGATTAGTGAACACTGAACAAAAAAACAACTGCTCTATCCGTATTGCTTCAAAACAGAGAACCGAGTCTGTAATTCACTACAAAACCAAATTAATTAAGTAAATAAAAATCATAATTATCAAATGCAACGGTTAAAAAAAAAAAAAAGCATAGTATAAAATAGAAAACAGAGTAGATCCGTGAGAAATATAGCAAAGAGATCAATTAATCAAAAATATGGTAGAGAAAAGTTACACATAGATGTGTTTGTGTCTCTCTGTAAAATATATATATGTATACATATATATAGATCTCTGTGAGAGAGAATCTGTATGTGTATGTGTGTGTATATTAGATATATAGTCACAGAGAGAACCTCAGCTTGTTGTGCAGTAATGAAAAAGATAGACATGAGTAATTGAATTATACTGCAAAAGAAAATAAAGCTAAGGAGGGTAAAATTGCATCTTCTGTTGGTTATATAGTGAGAGAAATGAAGTTTTAGGGAGTGAGAGAGAGGGAAAAGGTGTTATGGAGAGGTGGGAGGAGAGAGAGAGATGAAACAAATGGAAGAGTGCAGAGTGGAGAGAAAGTAGCAATAATCTCACCTTCTAGCCACATAAGAAGTCAATTCTCTCTCTACATGTGTGAATGTATATAATATATATATGTATATATATATATTATGTGTGTAATTAATGTTAGAGATAGGAGAAGAGAAAAAGCATCCTTCGGAAAGAGCCTAATAAATAGGCAGTTCAAAGCAGTAAATATCGCCATCAGAGAAATTTAAAGCTACTTACCTCTCTACACGCTTTCAATTTCCGCCACCTCTGTTCCGCCGCACACGGCTGTAAATTCCTTAATTCACAACCGATCTCCGTCGATCTCACCGCCACACACCGCCGCAAAAAGCCGCGTCCTCTGATCCAAAATCAAACTCGTTCATTCATCCAAATTAAAAGATCTGAAACAGAGACCTGTTGTTTTACACACACATATATATATATATATACATATACATATATGTAGGTGTGTATCGGTCTGAAAAGATGAGAACTGAGAAGTACCGGTAAGTCTGACATTGATGCCGGAGAATATCAGATGTTGTGATGATTGGAGTGGATATATAAAAAGAGAGAAAAATAAAGTCAAAGTTGTTGTTTGTTCGCCAGAGAGCTTTGTACCTTGGTTGGTCTGTTTGGCCGGTTGGAAAAGTGACGGCAAAATATGAGAAAAGGCTAAGATACATTTCTGAGAGTCAGATATAATGCTGTGTCCAGGTTCTGACAAATCGATCTGAGCTGGTGGTCTATTTTATTAATTTATTTATTATATTTTACAATCTCTTTTTAAATTTATAAAAGAATTATTTATTTACTATTTTTGTGTTACACGAATGTTTTTTTTTAATCCTTAATAGAACTATTATAAAAACGTAAAAATATCAAAAAAAAAAAAAAAATGAATTAAAAATGGTAAAAGGTGAAAGAATAAAAAAATGGTTAGATTGGTTACAACTGTGACTAGCATTGCTTAATAAATAATTTGTTAAAATATAGTTATGATTGTAACTCTTCAATAATAATGGACAAAATGATATGCAACTATGAAAGTTACTAAGCAACTCCTACTAAATAGTTATTAGTAGCTCTTTTGAATTTTAAGGTTATTTAAGTTCAACTAATGATAGAGATTGTAGAGGTCAATTTTTTTTTATGGGATCAATAACAATTTTCTCTAATGGTATATATGTATATTAGAGAAAATTTATTTTAGGGTTTATTTGGTAATCGAAAACGTTTAGTGCTTCTGTTTTCATTCATAAAAATAACGTTTTTGTTATGGAATGTGTTTAGTAGTACTTAGAAATATGTTTAGTAATTTAAAATTTGCTGCAAGATTTTTTAAAGCAAGAACATAAAAACATGTTTGATAAAAAAATATATAATAACTAGTTTAAAACTGTTATTTAAGAGTTTTTTATTTTTATTTTCTTAAGGCATATTTTGGAGTGTGTTATGATATTATTTTTTTGATATTGGTCTTTAAATTTAAGTATTGTACAAAATAAATTTTAGTATTGTTCACACATTGTGAAAACTTTTAAGAACACCAAATTGGTGTTTTGACTTCGATTCATTATTTATTGAACATTTGAGTATTGTACAAAATAAATTTTTATTTACTAAACATGTTGCCGTCCAAAACATTGCTATAATACTACGCCAAAACAAAAACAAAAAAACGCAAAACAAAAGCATATACCAAACAGGCCTTAACGTTTTGATCAAGAGAAGAAGTTTCAAATTAGCTTTCATGGGTTAATAATAACAACTCTCGAATTGTTTTATAATATGCAAAAATTATATGTAATTAGTGACGGAGTAAGAGTGTAGGGGAAGCAATTGCATCATTCATGAGAATTTTTTAACCCATTCAAACTTCTCACTCTTAATCCTAAAATTAGTCTCTCCTTTACTTCTCTGGAGGTGGTCTGGGATCATATGGTTCCGGCTAATGAAGAAAAGTTATTTAATTAAAAAATTTAATAAAACTGATATTTAATTACATAGCCTCTTTTAATTGTTTGGGATCATATGATCTCCGACCACCTAATAACTTGTACAAGAATCACACCGACCTTGTAAGTTGAAAGAGTACCAAAATATTTCGTAATTTGGATTTTTTTAAATGGGATTAATAACAATTCTATTTGACTACTATATATATATATATATATATTGTTCAAATTTATTTTAATGTTTTGGTCAAGTGAAGCAGTTTCAAATTGGCTTTCATTGATTAATAACTCTCAAATTATTTTATAATATGCAGAAATTACATGTAATTAGTGACAGAGTTGGGGTGCAGTGGAAGCAATTTCCTCATTCATGAGAATTTTTTAACCCATTCAACCTTCTCTCTGTTTACAGTAAATTAGTCCCCTTTATTTCTCTTCAAATAATTCAGGATCATAAAGTCTCGCTCAATGAAGTGAAGCCATGCAATAAATTTTTTTAATAAAATAAACGCATTTAGTTGCATGACTTCTTTCTATTTGCTCGGGACTACAAGGTCCCGATCCACCTAGTACTTCATTGTGTGAGTTGAGAAATTATTTTTTGTATGAGGAATAACAAATTAACCAATTATATCTTGCTGCGTAAACAAAAATGCAACCAGTTGAGAAGTAAGTATCCGGTGCGTCCGGTGTACCGTGTACAATGAATATTTATTTCTAATTTTGTGAGTCCCAATACTATATGTCAATGTTTAATTAGTTAATGGTACCATGCCATTAGTACTCATTAAAATTCTCATAATTTTTTTTTTTTTTTTTTTTACCGTCATCCCATGGTAAATTAATAATGGTATCTTTCAAGTTGTACATTTATATATTCGTATGTATATCTACCATAAAAAGAGTATTAAAATCTATAGCTAAACATAGTCTATGTACTTGATACATTAAACATGAACACAGTGAGAAAAAAATAAAGAAATTAAATGGGACCGACCAATTAAAATATAGAATCATCAAATGGCAATACATAATTAGAATCAAACGTTAATAGCTAAAGTAACCCTCCAACCTACCAAAGGACAATGTATTCAAGTCATGCACTTTGGATAGGAAATAATTAATATTCGTAACAATAACTTTATGTACAATTCATAAAGCTCACTAGTTGTTGTCTTTATCGTTGTGTTAGCTATTAGTAATGTTCTGACCTGGTGCATTGAATCATCTACCACCTACAAAAGGCACAAATGGAGCCCACCGTGCTGAGCGAGAAAGTACTATTTACGACTTATCTGAGTCGTACATGCACAACACGTGTTCACGCGTGTATAATATTTATTATTTGGATAAGTTCGATGCACAATATTCTAAACTGGTGCATTGAATCATCTACCGCCTATAAAAGACGCAAATGGAGCCCACCGTGATGGACGAGAAGGTATTATGCACGGGGCTTATTTAAGTCGTACGTACACGCGCGTGTATAATACTTATTACTTGGATCAATCCTATGCACGGTGTATCGAACGGGGTGGATTTAGTAGAGTATTTTGATAATTGTATTACAAATTTTAAAAAAAAAAAAAGTAAATAATGAAATAATTTTTCAATCATGGTAATATTTGTTTTTCTCTTGTGCATATACAAATAAGATTTAATTTTTCAATTGAAACTTGAGACTTGATATTATTATTGGAGTATTAAAATAATACATAGAATTTCTAAAGTAAAAATAATACAAAAGGATATTTAGTGATTGAAATAGAAGAAATTATAATTTTTTTAATATATAATTAATATATTGAATATAAAAATAAAGTATAAGAATAAAATTATAATTTATTACTATAAGCGGAACGAAGCGAGTTGACCTTTACTCATTCCTACATGCTAGTTTTCAATCATAACTCCATTCCTACTCCAAAATCATTTAACCACTCGCATAACTATTCTGTTGATACCGAGGATGAAATATTTTGCCATCCCATAGGAAAGGTTGATCTATGAATACATATATTAAGTGTATCTGGAATTTTTTTTTTTTTTTTTCTGTCTAACATTTCCAACTAAGATACATATCTGACACTTTTTAACTATTTTCTTCTAAACCTAAATTTACTTCTCACCTTCCAAATATATATTTAACAATTTATGAACATTAAAATATAATTTTTTCAGATATGATATTATAATATAATCATTAAAAAAAAAAAAAGGTTTAGATTCTTTTTTTTTGAAAAAAAAATAAAGTAAAATTGAGTTATATATCATAACTAATTGATGAAACGAAAGCTGGCTACGAAACTAAAATTGATCCACTTTGAATTCACAAAGTTTGGGAAACACAAAACTATGAATGTTTAATAATGAAAATAGCTATTTAAAAATATCACAATCACAATTATTTAGAGAAAACTCCAAAAATCACATATTGAGAAAATAACTTCTAATAAATAGATCAATATATGCATATAGTCAAAATCTGACACTTTATAATTTATCAAAGATGATACTCACTAAACTATCAGACATAGTAAAATTTAAACACTATAATTTTTTTTTTTAATTTCAGGTACATTGTAAGATTGAAAAAGTCTACAGTCATTCTCACGACTCAATCTCTATCAGAGTTGGTGTAACAAATTAACCATTTTAAATTCTTCTATTAATGTTATGTTAATTCTTGGTGAACACGTCATGGGGCGTTTGACTCTTTCATCTTTTGACAATCTATATATATATATATATATATAATATTTGTAATTATCTACACACACGTGTGATTGTCTACATATGCATAAGCAAAGCATGCATGTCGTTTGAAAAATGAGGAAATGAAAACAAAAGATTGAAAGTTTTTAAAAATTGAATCACATTTAACATTGACTGCATGCATGTATGGACCATCTGCTAGTTCTTACTTCTTATGCACCGAATTAGCCCACCTGATTCGAATCCGATTCAGATATGAATTGAGAAAAAAAATTCAATATTTCGATAATGATTCAAATTCGACAATTCGTTATGTTAAAAAATTAAATATAAATTATAAATAATCCAATTTGATAATAATCCATTCCGATTATATATATATATTATTACATTACAATATACTATACATTATTGTTATATATATTATTTATCTACTAGAATTAAATTTTTATATATTAATTATTCATAAATATATTCATCTAATTACATGGTTATATTATGCATCATCCTATATATTAACAATTTCCCATTCCACCTTACCTTATAGTTATACATGTCATTTTAATCTTTGTAAAAATAAAATAAAAAATAATCCGAATCCGAATCCAAGCTAAATAAGATATGAATTAGAATATTCAATCCGATAACCCGTTAATGATCCGAATTCGATAATCCGTTAACTTGACAAATCGTATATAAATTTGATTGATCCGATCCGAATCGGATCCATTAACAGGCTTAGCCATGGCCTTTACACGCGTGTGAGCTAAGAACTGTTGAATTCTATATGTGATAAGAGGATTCAATCTTTTACATTTGATGGTCATCATGTGTAAGAATCAAGATCAACTTCTGTGACACAAGGTATTCTGTGTCGCTTATGCAATATGCGGAGATCTGTTATGAGTTACGGTTCCTAAAACATGACACTTATTATGAGACGGAGGGAGCATCTTAAAATCGTTTCGTGTAAATTGTTGAGGGTGAAATTCACGCGATCAGATACAACAC